CTCCCCCAATGAATGCCACAAAGCACGGTCCTGAGCCACCTGCATCCATCGACTTCCTGCATGTCTTACCAGGTCGTCACTCCATCTCGTGGGGGGTCGCCCTATACTTCGCCTACTGGTACGAGGCTACCACTCAAGAACCTTTTCTTCCCCAACGGTTGTCGGTTCTTCGAGTTATATGGCCGGCCCACTGCCACTTCAGCTTACTAATCCGTTGGGCTATGTTGGTTACTCTGGTTCTACTGCGGATATACTCATTTCTAAGTTTATCACGCAGAGAAACCCCAAGCATAGCCCTCTCAATAGCTCGCTGAGTGACCTTGAGCTTCCTCATACGGCCAGCAGTGAAGGACCACGTCTCAGATCCGTAAGTCATCACTGGCAACACGCACTGGTTGTACAATTTCGTTCTCAGGTTTTCAGGTATGTCTAACGAGAAGATGTGTCGTAGTTTCCCGAACGCTGCCCAGCCGAATTGAATCCGTCGATTGACCACTCGGTCGAAGTTGGACTTACCTAGTCGGACTATTGGCCCAGGTAAACATACTCGTCAACAACTTCGAGCTTAGTGCTCCCAACAACTACCGGCATAGGTGTGACATGGACATTAAACATGATCTTTGTTTTGTCCATGTTCATCCTAAGACCTATTCGTTGGGAGACACTATTGAGGTCATTGAGCATGGTGCTTAGGTCCTCCAGCGATTCTGCAATAAGGACTATATCGTCGGCAAATCGAAGGTGAGTGATCTACTCGCCATTGATGTTAATACCGTATCCTTTCCAGTCCAGAAGCTTGAAAACGTCTTCCGATGCAGCGGTAAAGAGTTTCGGGGATATAACGTCACCCTGTGTTACACCTCTCTTCAATTGAATAGTTTCGTACTTTGGTTCTGTACTCGGATAGCCATCGTAGCTCTACTGTACAAACACTTCAGCATTTCGATATACTAACAGTCAACTTGGCACCGCTGAAGGGACTGCAGCACCGTCCAAATTTACCCCCCTATGAATTAAAAATGCATAAAGAAAAGGAAACATTTTTTATATTTCTTGGCAAAATATAAATATATAAGGTCCTATGACGTTTTACGACAAAGTTACTATTTTCGGAGTTATGAGTTTTTAAAGGTTTGAAAAATCCCGAATTCAGATACTCTCTTTGGGAACTAATTAAAAATATATAAAGAAATGTTTAAAAAAATTTTTTTATTCTCGCTTACCTGTTATAAAAGTTTGAAGAAACCTCTTTAACTAGCCTAATAACTATCCCAACTACGGAAACGCAAGGTGCGCTGCCGTGGTGGTGCCTTAAATGTTTAGAACCACTGGACTTTATGTGGGGTAATTCCGAAATTCAAGTGAGCAGAATATAGTTAAATTAGAAATATAAAGTATGTATCAATGCTTTTTGTAGAGGGTTATAGACGAACGAAAAGTAAATCTAAACCTTCTGTCGAAAGTCAAAAAGGAACACTTTACCGAATTTTCGGTTTTACTCCGCGTTATATCAGAATTATACCATATCCAGAAGAAAAATATGTCAAATTTTAAATGATTGTATTTACGCAACGCAAAGGCATTTTATTAAGATGAATAACAAAATAATTAGGATGTGTAATTCAATAAATAAAAGTGACATAAGTTGGTTGTAAACTTGCATAGATTTTTTAAAAATAATTATTAAATATGCATGGTATCAACTAATCAGAAAATATGTCGGATTTACCCCAAAGCACCTTATTACATAAGATAGGTATTTTAGAAAATGTTTTATATTTGAATATCATCGTTAAGGATATAATCACGTAGAGAAAGTTAGAGCATAGTCCTTTCCATAGCTATAAGCCTGTAAGTACCTAAGAATCAGAGTCAGAGTAACTAAGATAGCTCTGCGGATCAGCAAACTAAAGTACCAGTAAGTACAGCTCGAAAAACGGAAAACCAAACTCTGATTACATTTATTCGCTGTCTAGTGCCTACGGGAAAAAAATAGCAACAGAAAATTTGCGAAATTTTGCTTATAAATATATTGTAAACTCGTGACTACTGACTAGTGATCGTGATCGTGAGTATAAAACGAATATTGATAAAAATAACACGGTCCTAGTGAAGTAACTCACTGCGACCGTGTATAAAAAATTGCGTATTATTACGCGGATCTTAGCTTTTAATTAATTTTTAACATCTATCTGGCACACTGAATTATTTCGTTCGTATCATTCTTTGAGTGGTCTTTCGACATCGCGACGTAACTTTACGTCGCGACATCTATTGATGCGATTTGTAACTAAAGCAGACTAAAAGTACACTTCACACCGCATTCTTATTTAATGCATGATATAGAAATATATTTCTAACTTTTTTATGTGAAATAAATTATGGCTTATTTTTCGGTTAGATGAAGTTAATTTTTTTTCTATAATCAGTAATTTATGACGTTGAAGTAAGCCGTGCTATGTGGCATTGTGCAATGGCACGGGGTGGTGTAAGAAAATCATACAACACTTTATTTAGTTCCGTGGGTGCTTGAAAAGTCTCTTGTATACGTGTATTGTCATACGTGTATTGTTACTCTATTTATACTCGAATTGTCAGTATTAATCTGTGTATGGAAGCAGATCGCGGCGATGGGAATCAGCGTCAAAGGCGCGAAACTGCTAAGTGTGGCGATCATGAAGCAAATACGAGTACTTTGTATTAGCTTCATGGTGGCGATTGAAGCAAATATTCTTATCTCTGGAACCATAAGGCCTAGAGACTTGAAATTTGGTCGGAACATTTCCTCGATTTTACGAAATTCCACCAACAAGGGGGTTTGCGGGGTTAATGTGATATGTTTTAATTAGCGCCTATAGGAATAGAATAGAACAGAATCATTTTTATTCAATATAGATTATAGTACATATAATAGTTATTGAAATTCAGTTTTTACTTTTACCACTGGTTTGCAAAAAAAAAACCTCTGTCCTGGGAAGAACCAGCAAGAAACCTAGCGGGACTTCTTTTTAAAAAAGCACAATTTACAATATAATATTTTAGGTTTATTTTATTTTATTTTTTAATAACCCTTACTAGATAACTTTTGCTTAATAAATAATTTAAACCTTTTGATAGAAAAGGTCTGCATATTTTCTGGGACTTTGTTGTAAAAGCGTAAAAAATATTGCCCCATGAATGAATTACTGACCCTTTGGAATCGAGTAACTGGTACAACTACTTATATATACCAATGGTAAACTACTATTAACTAGAAGTAGGAATATGCCTACCAAATTTCAAGTCTCTAGGCTTTATGGTTCCAGAGATATCGTGATAAAATAATCACATTTTCAAACTATAGCGCTTATGGGTATAAAACTTGGTCAGAATATTTTTTTGGCATGTTAAAAATTAACAAGAACGGATTTTATGAAATTCCACCCACAAGTGGCAGTGCGAGGGCGTTAAATTTTTTTTTAAACTCCTTTAGTCTCGCTAAAACTCGAAAACGGCTGGAGGGTGTTAAAAATTTTTTTAAACTTTTAATCTATAGCTCCTTTAGTCTCGCTAAAACTCGAAAACGTCTGGATCGATCGTCGTGTTTGAGTCTGGATGATCTAAACAACTGGACCCGGTAGGTGGTGCTGTTGTCGAGATCCAGAAATCACCCGTGAGAAGCCGGGGCGGATTGCTATACATCTATATACAACATGTAACAAAAACCCTGTGGTTCCCGTTAAGTACGTTATCAGAATCAGTATTCAAAGCTATAGAAATAACTTTTTTTTAAAACTCGACCATATTTTTTTAAATTTTATTTAAAAAAAAATTTTTATGTGGTTTTATTACCTTTTACTGACACTAGCCGATGCTAAAGCTAAGTAAAGCGGGGTCTTTGACAAGCCTCTTACTCCCCAGACAATGCAGAGGTAATAAAACTACATACAATTTGCATACAATTTTTTTAAAATAAAATAAAAAAAATTGTTCGAATTAAAAAAAAAAGTGATTTCTATACGTTTGAATAATGATGCTGATAACGTACTTAACGGCAACCACAGGGTTTTTGTTACATATTGTATAACGGGAGTCCAGTTCAGTAAACTTAATTTTTTATTTGTGGGAATTTTCCAAAGTGGAATTCGTCCCCATATCTCATATTATGTTAAGATAAATTCTCCCGTACACTATCGCCAAATAAAATCGAATGCTCTTAATTTTACCATCGACACTGATTATAATGATGTTTCCCTTTTCGAGAGGTGTATTTTTTGTGTTTTGTTTCATGTTCAGATTTAAGGTCCAGGATTTACTGAGTTCTAGTGGACGACGAACACAGCACTGTACTTATGACGATGCTGTCAAACGCCGATTTGGATATCTTACGTCTGGCGTAAATGTGATGATATATCGCCATCTATGGCAGCTATAAGATCTTTCTGGCATTTTCTATAATCGCCTGTTACGACGCCCATGGAACTGCGAAAATGGATTAGTAGATTTCAACATATAACAATTTTCACCATAGCTCACATCATTCGACCTCTGTGGGGATAGCATACATATACTCATTTTTCATTCAATAGACGAGAGGATATAATAAACTATTCAGGAAGGAAACTAATATTTCTGAAGCAACCTAATATTTGTTTAGGGGCGTGATTAAAAGCCCACATTGGATATGAAGCTACGTGACGTTAGTATGTAATTACCTAATACATATTAATAAATTGACAAATTGAAACGCAGATATTGAAATTATTTTCTCGAGGCTTGTAAATGGGGTTAATGTGAAATGCTCTACGACCGACATATTCGTGCTACAACCATAATATAGCTGTGGCGTGGCACTACTACTTATAGAATTTTCCTATAACAGAAGCCATTGAAATAATTTCATATCAAGACACAATAGAGCTAACCGCAGATTATATTAATCGGGTCTTCTCGTCACTAACGGGTTGAATTATCAATTCAGCTAAAACAATACATGTGATCGTGTTGTCTAGGGTATTATATTAGTACAGACGGCAGGGTTGCCCGTGGGATTTTTCCCAGAATACTCCCGAAGAAGAGTAATGTTTTTCTGTATGTATGTACTGTGTGTATACTGAAAGAAAGAAAGAAAGAAAAAGAACATATTTATTTATTGCTGTAACTTGCTTCTACAAAGACATAATTTACAAAAAAAAAAAAAAAACTAAAACTCGTAAATATTAAGAAAAAAAAGAGGAGCAACAAAATTTTTTCTTTTCCATCAGCCTGTTAAGTTACTGTACTGTTAATACTCTGTTGGATAGATACCGTCGAAAGTAGGTGGCAAATTTATAGCGTGTCTGCGGCAAGGGGAATTTACGCGGAAATACAACGTTCAGAGAGGTAAGGATATCTAACCATTCATCCATTACTACCTATAAAAGTCTATCGCTGAACATATTATCGCGTTATTTGTGTTTCTCAACCAGTCAGCCCTAGGAGAAATAGCATAATAAAACAAATAGGTATTGAAATTCAAGACTGATTGAAACTGAATTATAGAGAACACCAATTGCTTCTGGTATTACCTAAAGGTCGTTCAAAATGTCGTTCAAAAACAAGTCAGCCCCGTACCGCGTTAACTAAATTTAGGCTGCCTCGTCCAATACTTTATTACTGATATTAAAGCTTCGTTTTTTTTTTAATACGATCTTTTCGGACAAATGGAAGATTTTAATAGCGTCTCTCTCTATTACACTTAATTCGAGACCATTATGAAATCAATCAAGGATATAATTTTTTTACATAAAATGAGCTGCAATTCTACCCGGTGGTAAGTGGTGACGGTCACGCCAACACAGTGCGATTTACCTTCTTATTCACTATTAATTCATTATTAGAATCAGTTGTTACTTTGCGGAAATCCATTAAATTAAAGATAAATATTAATTGCGGTAGCGAAAGGGCCGCTGACGTATATACAATTGCACCTGCCACAAAATCTCATCACTCCACGGGTTGACGGGCAGAGAATGCCGATAGGCATTAAGTCCGCCCTTTGTTACCCTATTTATTGAGGTTTTAACAATAAATGTTAAGTAAATAAATAATTAAATGATATCTACTAGTAAACCCTAGGAATGGCTAACAAGTTATTTTTATATGATTTGTAAAATAATTGTACGACATTACTGAGGTGGTGGAACTCCTTCTCTGCCCAGGAGTTCGTCTTGGTAAGGACTGCTCTGTTTTCCGCTGCCAAAAGGCAGTAGGTATCTGTAATTGTTTTTGTTGATTTTAATTTCATTTCAAGTATCTAGGAAACACACACCATAAAATTTAGAATATTTGCAAGGCCTAGTAATAACTAGGCCTTGCAAATATTCTAAATTTTATGGTATTCGAATATTCGCCTTTTTTCGGGTATTATTCGAATTATTCGAATAATATTCGAATAATTAAAAAAAACAAAAGCTAAAAAAAATAAAAGCTAATAATTATGTTTTTAATACCCAATCTCTTACTTAGAGTCTAATTTCTCTCAATCAAAACAAAATGTTACTTAAAAATTAAAGAACTGTTTGGAATTTCACTGTTATGACCATTGAGTTATATTATGTACTACGCACTAGAGAAGTCATTCCGAACATTGACTATGTTCAACTGAACTGTAGTGCAGCCCATACAAACTAAATATTGCGTAAATTGAAGATTTGTGAATTCTATAAAATAATTATTCATCATCATCATTACAGCCCTTCACAAGTCCACTGCTGAACATAGGCCTCCCCCAAAGAATGCCACAAAACACGGTCCTGAGCCACCTGAATCCATCGACTTCCTGCATGTCTTACCAGGTCGTCACTCCATCTCGTGGGGGGACGCCCTACACTTCGCCTACCGGTACGAGGCTGCCACTCGAGAACCTTTCTTTCCCATCGGTTGTCGGTTTTTCGAGCTATATGGCCGGCCCACTGCCACTTCAGCTTACTAATCCGTTGGGCTATGTCGGTCACTCTGGTTCTACTGCGGATATCCTCATTCCTAAGTTTATCACGCAGAGAAACTCCGAGCATAGCCCTCTCCATAGCTCGCTGAGCGACCTTGATCTTCCTCATACGGCCAGCAGTGAAGGACCACGTCTCAGTTCCGTAAGTCATCACTGGCAACACGCACTGGTTGTACAATTTCGTTTTAAGGTTTTGAGGTATGTCTGACGAGAAGATGTGTCGTAGCTTCCCGAACGCTGCCCAGCCGAGTTGAATCCGTCGATTGACCTCTCGGTCGAAGTTGGACTTGCCCAGTTGGACTATTTGTCCCAGGTAAACATACTCGTCAACAACTTCGAGCTTAGTGCTCCCAACAACTACCGGCATAGGTGTGACATGGACATTAAACATGATCTTTGTTTTGTCCATGTTCATCTTAAGACCTATCCGTTGGGAAACACTATTGAGGTCATTGAGCATAGTGCTTAGGTCCTCCAGCGATTCTGTCAAAAGGACTATATCGTCGGCAAATCGAAGGTGAGTGATGTACTCGCCATTGATGTTGATACCGTATCCTTTCCAGTCCAGAAGCTTGAAAACGTCTTCCAATGCAGCGGTGAAGAGTTTCGGGGATATGACGTCACTCTGTCTTACACCTCTCTGCAATTGGATAGGTTTCGTACTCTGGTTCTGTACTCGGATAGCCATCGTAGCCCTACTGTACAAGCACTTCAACACTTCGATATACCGACAGTCAACTTGGCACCGCTGAAGGGACTGCAGCACCGCCCAAATTTCGACGGAATCAAAGGCTTTCTCATAGTCCACATACGCCAGACATAGTGGCAAATTGTACTCTTCAGACTTCTGTACAACTTGCCGAAGGGTATGTATGTGGTCTATGGTGCTAAAGCCCTTTCAAAAACCGGCTTGTTTGGAAGGCTGGAAGTCGACAAGTCTGCGCGCGAGACGATTCGTAATGACTCTCGAAAACAGCACGTAGACGCGGCTCAGAAGGGAAATCGGTCTGTAGTTCTTCAAGAGAGCGTTGTCACCTTTCTTGTAGAACAAGACCACCGCACTTCTGCTCCACGTCTCCGGTGTAATGCCACCATGGAGGACGGAATTAAAGAGCTTCTGAAGGACTTCAAGTACCGGTCTTCCACCCGCTTTCAGAAGTTCCGCTGTAATTCCATCCTCGCCTGGGGCCTTACCGTTTTTAAGGTGCTGGAGAGCCATCCTAATCTCGCTCAGACTGACATCCGGGATATCTTCGGAATAGTGTCGGATGAGACTCGCTCTTGGATCGTTACTCACACTTGCGTGTGGCTCCAACGATGATCTGTACAGCTGCCCATAGAATCTCTCAATCTCACTCAAAATCTCAGGTGTCCCGGAAACGATGCTGCCACATTCTGTCTTCAGCTTTGACAGTTGGCTCTTTCTGGCAGACAGATCAAGTCTGTTGAAGAATGTAGCTTCATCTCCCGTCTAACAGCCATGAGATTAAGAGTGTGATCGGAGAGTTTTTGTGTTCTTCTGCAGCGGGTCTTGCAGAACTTAGCTCCGACCGCATGGACAGTTTCCACGAGCTTGTCATTCATATCGTCCACTTCATTGCAGTCTTCCAGGCACTGAAAACGGTTTTGTAACTCGAGCTGAAAGGTTTCGGGACTTTGGAACAGAGCACGAGGGGGACGGAGCGTTGACTTCATTAGACGAGACCTCTCCAACTTAACGTTTAGGTTCAGTGTGCCTCTAACCATTCGGTGATCGCTACCAGTTTTCACCCTCGCGATCACGGAGACATCACTGAACAGTTGTCGTCTGGTCGTCATAATGAAGTCAATCTCATTTTTTGTGGAACCGTCGGGGCTCGACCAGGTCCACTTCCTGTGGGGCCGCTTCTGGAAGAAAGAGTTCATCATAAAGAGTCCCTCTTTCTCCATGAAGTCGGCCAGCTGCTGGCCCCTTGGGTTCCGTTGCCCTATTCCAAATTTCCCTACTTTCAGCTCACCGTTCTCTCTTGTGCCTAGTTTTGCATTGAAGTCTCCCATTAACACCGTATATTGGGTTTTGGAGGAATGCATGGCTCTAGAGATATCCTCATACATTTCCTCCACCTCCTCATCGGGGTGTGCCGAGGTTGGTGCGTAAACCTGTATGACCTTCAGCGAATACCGTTTGGTGATTCTGAGTATAAGGTACGCAACCCTCGTCGACACACTCCCGATCTTTACAACGTTGTTAACGAGAGACTTGTGGACGATAAATCCGACACCTCCTTGGGACAGATGGTCTCCCTCCCGGTGATAGAGCAAGTTGCCGGATTCGAGGATTACCGTGTCCTCCCCCTCTCTCCGGACTTCGGATAATCCTATAATATGCCAGCGCAACTTGTCTATCTCTTCTTCCAGCTCCACGATCTTCTCGTCAGTCCTCAGGGTGCGTGCGTTGTACGTTGCCAGGTCGAGTCGTCTAAGGTGGCAACCGAACCTCCACCGGAGATTCTTAGCACCCCCTGCCCCGCTGTTACCATGGTCGCCACCGTAGCCAGGAATAGCGGGGCCGCCGGGGACTGGGGGCCGTTTTTTTGTCACTGTCATTCATAGGGGGGGGGGGTATTTGCCATAGTTGCCACGCTTGGCGAGCGGGTTGGCAACCGCAGTTTTTTTATTGTAATTTGACTATTATCAGGAAGATGCTGCTGCCCATCTCCTGCCTGTTTCCCTTTGTCGCCTTTTACGACACCCACGGGAGGATATGGGGTAGTGGATATTCTTGACCGCCACTACATATTATTAATACATTTACTAAATAATTATTAATACATTTTATTTAGAAATATGTTTGTTTAGATTAAAGTAAGAGTATTTTATATTAAATTCTTATCTTTATTTTATATTAATATCTAGCTGACCAGCCAGACGTTGTTCTGCCCTTTCCGAAGACCATTTGCTTTCCTAAAAAAAAACTGCTGAGATAAGCAATAAAAAAATTGAGGGTCACTTATTGGGATAAAAACTATCCTATCTCTCAAGTTGGACCAAACTGCACACAGTGTGCAAAATTTCATTGAAATAAGTTCAGTAGTTTAGGAGTTCATCGCGGACAAACAACGTGACACGTCATTTTTATATATAAAGATTAAAGTCTTAGAGTAGCGCACAATTTTTGTTTGGAATAACTTCTCTAGTACGTAGTACATATAACTCAATGGTTACTAGAAATAAAGTACTAAATTCTTCTTAATATCTATTATAGGTTCTTCGTAATGTCGCACATGATGCACATTACAAACTTACATATTACTTATTTATAAAACTTAAAAATTTTTAAAGAAAGATTTTCATTTTTCAACTGTGATAGAATACAAATAATTAATCAGTATTAGAATTTATGAGATCAGAATCAGATCAATGCTAATCAATGATCAATCAATTGTACAAAACTAAAATACGTTTTAATATTATCATCTAACTTTGGCTTATTCTTACACTTACACGTATAACTTAAGTACTTTCAAGGCAAGAGTGAATAGATATCTTCTAGGCAAGCGCGTTCCAGCCTAGACCTCATCACTGTTTTCTTTCGTCAAGTGCAAACATATCCTACAATAAAAATAAAAATAAATTCTTCAACCTTTTTTTTATGAAATGGGATCTTTTTTTTTTATAGGATCTAGTATCAAACGAGCACACAGTCCACCTGATGGTAAGTGGTTACTGTGACCCATAGACATCTACATCTATCCTCAATAAGGACTCAAGATGCAGATGCGTTGTCACCCGTGAGGACTAAGATGGAATGCCTCTTTGCCAGTAAAAAGGGTCTCCGGTTCTCTACACTCACCATACGAAACACAGCAGCGTTAAGCTGCTATTTTACGCTGGTTTTCTGTGAGAGCGTGGTCCTTCCCCGGTCGAGCCGACCCATTCGTGCTACAACCATAATATAGCTGCAGCATGGCTCTACCACGTAGAAATCTAAATCTAAAGAAACTTAGCGCGTCTAGGGAATCATCTTTTAAAGCACATCTTAAAAATGGTTACAAATGTGTTTTGCTGATGAAAACACCCTTTAACACTATACATTTGTAGGTGGTATACACATGACGAAGTCATACGCTTGGCTCAAATGGACTTCTCTAGAACCTCATCTGTCAAATAGCGCCATCTGGATTCGCACTGACCTTTCTAACTCTTCTCTATCTGATAAATTTGCTGTAAACGTCGAAGGAGTGGCGGAATTAGTCTCATTTATCATTTTTTGTAACTCTTCTTTAAAGCTCATTTCAGATGTTTCCCTGTGTGACTCG